GCTGCTGCGAGGTGTGCGGCGCGGCCGAGGGCGCCGAGTGCGGCCCGCAGGAGGGTCCGTGTGGCGAGGGGCTGCAGTGCGTAGTGCCCTTCGGGGTGCCCGCCTCGGCCACTGTGCGGCGGCGCGCGCAGGCCGGCCTCTGCGTGTGCGCCAGCAGCGAGCCGGTGTGCGGCAGCGACGGCAGCACCTATGCCAACCTGTGCCAGCTGCGTACTGCCAGCCGCCGCGCCGAGAGGCAGCGCCAGCCGCCGGTCATCGTCCTGCAGCGCGGCTCCTGCGGCCAAGGTACCGCTTCGCGGGACAGGCGGGCCAGCTAAGGGACAACGAGGGTTGGCGGGGGCTTTGGGCACCTACTTGCCGGGAGAGCGCGCAGCGGCTCCCTGTGGCAGCGATGCGCGGGCTGCCTTGGACCGAGCTTTGCGCCCAGCCCCCGGCCGGTTCCGCTGCCGGCGAGTGCCTGGCGCGCAGGAGCCACACAGCGCCGGGAGCCCGGGACAAATAAGACGGAGGAATGTGGGCATGAGGGGAGGAGAGAAGTTCGCGACTGGGTACGGCGCCTGCAGCGACCGAGTCGGAGGCGTTGGGACCACAAGGACTCATTTCTGTTGCTGTCCTTCCTTTCTAACTCTGTCTCTCCCTACCTCCTATATCCTTTAACGACCATGCATTAGTTTTATTGTGGGCTCTCTCCTTGAAAACTTTATTTACTTTTTAAATTTTTCTTGAAAGAAACAAATTCTGTTACCTGAACCACTCCCCAGTCCCCCCAGATGGCAGGGACCGGTTTGGTAGCTGCAGGCATCTTGGCTGCTCGCTGCCTGTGTTGCTTAGCTTGTTTAGAGCCAACCCGACAGAAATGAGAGTGGAATAAGTCGAACAGGGCTTTGGATCAGGAAATCTGCAGCGGCAGAGCAGGGAGCGGGCTGGGGAGGAGGGAAGGGGGAGCTCTTCTCTGTCCCGGTGCATCAACGGGACCCGGCTGGAAGGGGAGGTGGTGCGGATGGGGCGCAGGAGTTTCATGGCGAAATCTTCCAACTCCTCTCGGGCCTTCTGGAGAGATGCTTCTTGTCTTCAGGAGGAGAGACCACGTGGAAACACCGGAGTTGAGCCGCGGCCAGGCCAGCTATGTCCACAGGGACCCGCCAGCCGCGCTGGGCGGTGCACTTGGCGGCAACCAGGGCCTGTCGTCGGGCCCAGCACAGCCTCCCCAGCGCAGGCGCAGCGTGGAGGGGGGAAGGGAAGCCGGGTGCAGAAGGGGCTGGCCCAGAGTTTCTTTATGGGAATATGGTCCACCATGGCCAGCTAAGGCCTGGTGGCAGTTTAACTCACGAGGAGAGCAAGGTGCCAGAGCAGTAGGGGGAGAAACTGGAGATTGTGTATTCTGTCACAACACAGGAGCAGTGGGCCAGCCTCAGAGCCAGCCCAGCCTCAGCCTAGTTAGGAGTGGAGGAGGGTTAACCTGGGGAGAAATGAAGGTGCTGTGTTAGGCACCACCTGCTCTTGAACCCAGATGCTCCAAGAAAGCCTGGTGGCGGGACTAACCCAGCAGCAGGGCAGACCATCAGGATGAAGAGTGTCTGTGTTTCCTAGTGCGGCTGTAACAAATTCACAAATGGGTGCCTTTAAAGAACAGAAATTTATTTTCTCACAGTTTAGGAGCCTAGAAGTCTAAATTCAGAGTGTGACTCTAGGGAGAAGTTCTTCTTTGTCTGTTTCAGCTTCCGGTAGCAGCAATCCTTGGTTCCTCAGCATCTCCACATCTCCACCTGGCATCTGTCTTTTCCTGTTTTTGCTTCCTTGTCTCTCTGTCTGTCCTGCTCTTTATATCACTCAGATGTGATTAGGTTTAAGACACACCACACCCTACCCTGATATGCCCTCATTAACATAACAAAGAAAACCCTATTTCCAAACAGGATTATATCCACAGGTATAGGGGTTAGGATGCCCACGCATTTTGAGGGGACACAATTCAGTCCATAACAGGGAGTTAAGGCTGCTGCGATACTCGGGGCGTGAGGTGAGGACCCTGAGAAAACAGACTGCATAATTTGTGAAAAGGAAAGCAGCTGTTATGTGTATGCTCCTCGCTGCACAGGGTCCTGGCACCATGCGAGCCGCCGAATTTATTGCCAGTGAGGCAGTCACTTAAGGAGCTTAAGAGAGTCATTTTTGGCTGGGCAGGGTCGCTGGCGATCCCAGAAACCTCCAGAAGAGCTGTGAATAGGTTGATTAGGGCTTAAAATAGCTGCATTTGGTGAGGCATTATGGCGGGGACCATGAGCTCACCGTGGTCACAGTGCCTGACGCCTCAACGCGGTGAGACTGAATCTGGCGTTTCTTTGGAGCTCTGGGATCCTGGACATGGTTCTGTGCCTTGGATTCAGAAATCAGACTTTCCATGAGCTTATGTTTCAAGTGAATAAATAACTCTGGTCAGGCTTAATGTTAAGAAGAAATCAAGCTTGGCAGTGGGTGAGAGTTTCTTGGGATGCCAGCCGGGATGGGAACCAGTAGGCTGACACCTGGCTCTGGCCCTTCCTGGGCTGTTACCTGACCAGGTGACCATGGCCTGTTGACCTCTGAGCTCCTCAGAAATGAGGGAATTTGACCAAATGGTCTCTGAGGTCCCGTCTAGATGGAATAGTCTGGTTCCTATAAGAAAACCACAGTCTGAAGAGGTTGTGGTCACCTTGCCCCTGTTTGAAAGGCTGGGTTTGCTTCTTTAAGAGTTACTTCTTTTTCTTAAGTTATTGATAGTTACAGCCAAGTTTGGCATTGATTGGATGTGAGCTGTCTTGGGCCTGATTGCCTTGCACTTCAGCTTTATGCTCGCTGCTGCTGAAGGTTCCCACACGGCCACGGTACTAGCATGCTTAGCTCCGAGAGATGAGCTCCAGCGAGCTTGGCAAACCTTGCTCCTCCTCAGGTGCCCGAGGCTGGGCCTGCCTCCAGGTCCTCTGGATTGAGATTCCTTCTGAGCCGATGCATCTTTTCCTTCCCCATCTTCCCTGCCATTAAAAAAAAAAGAAGAAGAAAAAGAAAAATGATCTCAATAGAGGGAAAGAAGTGTAGTCATTCTGAACGTTTTTTCCAAAGGCTCCAGAAGTGGCCGAAGTTGGGTGAGTGACACCTGGTGATGTGTGTCTAGAACCACAGGGGCCACTAGCCAGGACAGCAGGCCTCAGGACAGAAGTTAATGGCAGTGAAGATCCATGTATATTGCTGCTAGAGGCATTCAGAGGTCAGCTTTTGGAATCAGTGACATGAGTTCTATCTCTAAATTCATTCAGAGCACTTGTTGAACACCTACTGTGTACTCAGAAATGTGTCAGTTATAGAGGCTCAGGCGAGTAAGGCTTGGTGGCCCATGATCTCAAGGAGTTCATGGTAGACCCTATGGCACACTGGTTAGGGCTGGGGTTCTGATGAGAGTGCCACTTCCTAGATGTGTGACTTCTCATATGTTACTTAATCTCTATAAGTCTCAGTCCTCATCAGTAAAATGACAATAATAATAACGATACATACATACCTCATAGGATTGTTGGCGGATTGAAGGATTTAATTGCATGAAGTGCTTAGTCCTGTGCCCGATGGATTACTCGGGTTCAATCAATATCAGCAATAATAATAATTATTATTATCATCGAGGCACCTAAAGCAGGAATCAGCTCAGTGGGGAAGTACTGTGATGATCCTGTCTCCCTGGAGGTAGGGGGTGGGTGCGTTAGACAGAGAAGGAGGGAGCTGCAGGATGTGTGTCCTGGAGGCTGACTCGGAATTTGCCAATTAATATGTTAGAAAAGGTTCTCCAGACACAGGGAATCAGAACTAGCCTTGCCTGTCACCCTCTCATTGAAAACTCCACGCTTTGCCTATGTCGTCTGAGAAGTTTATGACTTCTCCTGAATTAAGAGCTGCATGAATTGAACACTTGGGATTTTGACAGACGTTATAGTATTAACCCTCCCTGGGGTTTTCGAGGCCCAGGACGTGACCGTTTTCAGAAGCACTTGAGCCTTCTTGAAAAATGCCTGGCTAGGTTTGTCTGCTCTGGGAATTCTTTTCAAGGAAAGATGGCCACGTCTTAAGTGGAAAAAATGGTTAGGGAGTACACGGATACCCTATCATTTTGATTCCTAGAACAAGTTGTCGAGTAAGCGCATTTCACAGAGACGCTCTTCCAAGCCTCGTGTGACAGCAGCTGCGCCTTACCAGAGGGTGGTTGTGTCCCCTTGTGCACCCGGGGGTCTCTGAGGGCACGTTGTTGCAGATGGAATTTCTGATCATTTCCAAATTTGAGTAACCACTGTCTTAATGAGTCAGAGCCTTGTGCAATGTTTTCAAACCTCAGCAGCATCTTTATCTTGAGTTGTGCAATCAAATCTAGAGAAGATGATGGTGGGAGGCCCGTGTGTGAGGAACTGTTTTTATCCAAGTTCGGTGAGATTTGCAATAGAGTTCCCTTTTGCGTATTCTCCCGCAAGATCTTACTTGATCATCCAACAGTTGAGTCATCTCGCTCCCTTTGACTAGGAGAACCCTGTGTTGGGTGCCAATATTCCAAGTGGCAGTCACCGCTTGGTGGGATGGATGGATACGGAGAGTTCTGCCAGTTGAGGTTCTGCAGGGAGATAGATGCCAACTGGATATAGAGGAAGGAAGACTCAGCACTCAGCAATCACATCTGCTTTTCTCAGACAGTGAGCTAGCCCAGGGAGGACTTCGTTCTCCAGGACAGCCAGGGTGGTGAAAACAGCATGAAGCTAAACAATGGCCTGAAGGGCTACCAGGACTTGACTTGGTGCTTTCTGACAGCTAGGCACTGTGCTAATGGTATTATGGGCCTTAACGCTTTCCTCATTCCTCCCTCGTAGCCACCCAGGAAAGTGGGGGCATTATCTCCATTATGTAGCCGAGAAGATAGATGAGGCTCACAGAGGTCCAAGACCACCTAGTAGGAGGAGGTGGAGCCTGGATTTGAACTCAAGTTTGCCTCACTCCCGAGTCTACTCTTGAGACTTCTTTGACTCATTCTTTGTTTAGAAGCATATTGATTAATCTCCACATGTTTGAGGATTTTCCAGCTAGTTTTCTGTTGTTGATTTCTAGTTTAATTTCATTGTGGTATGAGAACATACTTTGTATGGTTTCTATCCTTTTAAATTTGTTAAGGTGTGTTTTATGGCCCAGGATGGGATCTATCTTGCTGAATGTTCCATGCTAACTTGAGTGTATTCTGCTGTTGTAGGATGGAATGTTGTAGAAATGTCCGTTAGGTC